TGCAATGAACTTATCTTGATATGAACATATATATAATCTGCAAATTGGTAGGTAAAAACTATTGTATATTTAATATTATTGCAACGTCATGGAATAATATTACCCTAGCCATAAATTAACAGAGAATGTCTCCAAAAGTAGCATTCTACTTGAAATATACTTAGTAACTGGCTTAGATGATTGAAAAATTTATTTGATTTAACTTTGACAATGAGATATTATATATCTGGCCTTGAGACCACTTCCATAAATTAAAGTGGTACAGGAGTTAATTGATGACTAACAATGCAATAAATGATTCATGATGCACATTCTGCCATTTCCTCATTGATAAGTTTGAAAACAGGGTGTTTCATTTTATTGATTTAATAACAAATAATGATCCGAGTGACAATGATCCGAGTGATTTTAAACTATACATGTGTTACAATCATGATATCATCCAACACAAACAATAAGTACAACACAATGTATAAGTATAAATCACAACTTTTATTCACACGAACTGTCCACCCAACTGACACTGTTATGAATGCAGACATTTGTCTCTTAGGAGTAGGACTTGTGTATCTTTCAGCCAAGCTGTAATAAGAATAACAATATATATGCACTATAATTACGAATTTACAATATTGCTTTACTATTTTTTGTACCAGTTTTTAATGCCTATTAAGATTCCAAGTTCTCTAGCTTACAGATTATTATCCAAAATGGTTTTAAAACATTCCTATCTAGTCTACAGACAGGTTTAGAGTATTCTCACTCTCTCACTCTCTACAATATTGATTAATAAAAATAAAGAAATCTAATCTTGCGTATTATTTAAAATATTCTTAGTGCACAGAATGGGCCCCAGCCCCATCAGCTATTTTCTTGGTTAAACTGGCTCTTATGATTCAAAAAAATTGTAGAATAATGTCAATAAATATGTCAGTAGTAGTATAAAATAAATTTTATGCGTTCACAAATGATGTACAATTATTTACTAATCAATATACAATTGTGGTGATAGCTCAGTATAGCTAAATCCATGGTTCCAGTTTAGATTTAAGAATAAGCAACCCAGTATGACCTTGACAAGAAAATGAGCCCTAGTATATCTTTATTGATATAATGCACTGTTGCACTCCAGTACAAGCCTTTTGGAAAAATCATTGTATAGTTTTCTTGTGTCAGTGCTTCATTCTGCACAGCCTGGTATATATTGATGTTAATAATTGTTAAAATCCCTTTCAAAAATGGCTCATAAAGTATTTCAAGAAATTGGTTTCCACTTTTGAACAAGAATTCAGCATTCAACATTACATTTTTATGTAACTGAAAGAGTTATTTAGTTTATGTTTGTATTACTCATTCAATTAAACTTGTTAAGAAAAAACACTCCAGACCATGCCCAGAGTCCCAGACGTTACTGTTACTGGGCCCCAGCCGGGCCAGCCCCAAAGCCAGGGGTGTGTATTCTTAACAATATCTGAAGGCTGACGCCATTGTCTAGGCTCTAGCCTCAAACAAAAATCCAAAAAGATTTATTTAAATAATCAGCCAGCATATATAAACGTGTGCAATATTGTGAATAAACTAAGAATTGAGAATGTGAAAAGAAGTAGGTATCAAAATTGAAAATTTGGGATAAATTGACATGAAAAAAGCCTTAATAAGGGAAAGGGATATGTAGAAATTTACTCACTTGAATAAAATAGGATTTTCTGTAGAGAAGGCTTCTTCTGGCCATCGTCTGATAGTTTATTTCGTCATCGTCTGAGCGGAGAGGCGGAGAGAGGCTCTTTAATGTGCCACTTATTTAATATCCGCGCGACCAAATCGCTTCAAAACTTCTACATGATTAGATGAAGACTATTTCAAGATGCTAACGTTTTAAGGGGAATTTTGAGGAGGTGAAATTTTTTATAAATACTCTCAAAAATGGCACTAAAACAACGTGACACACGTGATTGTTTACGTTTTGCGATCTCAGTGACGTCACAGGCGGAACAGAAAACGCCATCCGCAAAGCTGAGCTTCTTGTGTGTCAACCTTCTACTAGTTCAACCATGGCTACAACATCCTATACGCAACTGTTCAATTGAATCAATTGAGTACTACAATTTCACCTAAGTTAGGTCATCATTTCTATCTGATTTTTAATTAACAGATCTTCGCATAATGAGGAGAGGTTAATAATAGACGAACATGCCGCATTTATAAAAAAGATTGACTCGCAATGTTACGAAAAAGGAAAACGTCTCGTCAACTCAGAGGATTTCTCGGGAAGTTGGAAGCAGCACCGACGCTTCGATTCAAATTCGACGCGTCTTGTATAGTTGGAGGACGCTTCAGCCGTTTCGCGTCCATATTTCGCTATAATAATGGTCTATTCATGTATAATTATACAATTATATTTAAAATAATTGTGGATAATCCAGAGTATGAATGGAAAAATTTTTTCATGAGATCAGTTATAGCCTGTGACAGTCCTGTTGTATTAAATTAGGAAACTTGTGGGTGACTGCGAACGCCATTTGCAAACGTGAATCCAAAACTCGTTTTGGGCCTGACAGAATTCAAGTGTGAAAAATCGAGTGCCCCATTGCTCTATTGTAACGATTGCAATGAATATTTAATTGATTCGTCATTAATTATCTGCCAATTTGTTTTATTCATCTCATATTCATCATGCTTGCCTGACATGTTTTCCCTCAGTGGAGTTTGGAGTCTGCTCGATTAGGTCATTCAAGTGGTTATATGCCAATGAAGTAAATGATGTTTGTAGCCTACAATCTAATAGGTTTTGCTAGACAGATCCAGTCTGAATAGCCACAGCGATGGAAATTAAGTAAAGTTATGCACTAACTGGATCTAGATGTGCTGATGTCATGATTTAACTGGAGCAGAATTTATTATTTCTTTTGATTTGCTCGCCATTTTTTAAATATTGTATGACAACCTACTTTCATATTTGCAGTTATCGGTTGATTAATAGAATATAATTCAGTTTCTGGTGCATGTCAGATCCGTCAAATTGATGTGAGTAATCAATGTTTGACCAGGGTGTAATTTGTCTAAATGCGATAATATTACAAGAAGACCAGTTTTTTGCTCAAGCCAATCTGAGGCAGTATAGCACTCCAGATTAATAGTATTACTAAAATATTATGAGAAACTGATTTTGCTTCTAGGCCATATTATTTTGAATTAGCCTAAGCTGCTAGTTATGACGATGTTTAACACCTTTTGTCCCTTTGATTTTGCCTTATTCTGCTGATATTAGCAACAGAGAATATTTCAGCTAACGTTTATTGTTGTCATGACTTATCTTACGTATCTAGGTTTTCGAACGACGAGAACTATTGAAATAAATAATTCTGTATAGTGAACCATGTCCCTTTAAATAATAAATTAAATAATAATAAATTTATTAATAAAAATAAAATAAATAATTCATTTAATCATGTGCAAACTTCGTCACCACCACCAGCACGGCTAACCAAGTTATAGGCTCGGTTTAATATCTAATTTCATTTGTATATGGACTATTTCTAATTAAATTCTGAATATGCAGGATTTACGGTGACTGTATGAAGTAAATTTTCATTGAAGGATCAATTTTCCTTGGAACGGAATTGGGGCTATCGTTAGGCGGATAGATTACTACAGAATAGAAGTAATTAATCAAGTCCGCGACTGAACAAGGTATATAGAAAGTGGTCATACGTATATATTGATATAGCCGTACAGAACTAGATATCGCTCATGTTTTTGTGCAGTAAATTAACTTCAACGTTTTTGTGCAACTTTGATTTACTTCAGTCAGTAAATAAGAAGTTTTAAGACTATTAAATATAAGGCAAAATATTTATCTACTACAATAAAAAGTAAAACTACTAAATAAGAGGTTTTTGATAGAAGAATAAATATTTCACTATAACTCTGGTCATATCATTCTGCAACTAACCGGGAAGTTTTTCACTTAGGAATACTTTTAAATATTGTAAAATTACGTTATATGTGGGATGTAACAGTCAACTCCACTGAACAGTTATAAAATAACTCTAACTCTATCAAGCTATAATTTGATAGTCAAGTGGGCTGAAATTACGAAGTACAGATTCAAACTAATAACACAAAATATCTTATTAAGATGATGATTTCAGCAGCGTAGAATGGAGTGTATAGTTTCACAATGCCGAAGCATTTTTTGGTCGTGCATTTAGTTATCCAGCTTGCCGTCGAGTAACTTCATATGTTTCATCAGCATTTCATGTAGTCCTTCCACGAAGTGACATGAGCGATCCTTCAGAACGGCGTCAGGCAAGATCGCATTTAATTCACTAATCACAGTGCTGAGCGACTTGGACAAATCCAAATCTCTCCAGTATTCGTGAAGAAGCTGAAAAATAAAAATGTTACTTGGAACGAAATGTTTCCAAAAAATATCCTGCATCTATTAGGCTTGACACTAAATAAGGCATGAACTATTGATTTATATGAGTAAATTCGATCTCACGTGATCAATGATGGAAACAATACGAATTCATTTGTTTTTGAGTCAGTTTCAAAACCTATTACATGGATAATACAAAAGTTCGAAGATTGCTTTCTGCACTAAGTTTAGATTAAAATGAAAAATATGTCGATGTAATTTGTGGAAAATTTTAAAACATTAACGTGTAAACTATATTGAGCAATGAATAAATTGAATGCGATATTCTGTTTCCATAGCATTCCGGAATATATTTGACAAAATGAAAAGCAACAAAGAACCAAATGGTTTGGAAACATTAGAAACTCGTTTACGCACGTTATACAGCCATTAGTTCTATAAAAATTAACACGAATGCAGGGTTTGATGTGTAACAGAGCTACAGAAGTGACAAGCGCCAACTTGAATATAAAAGATTTTCCTTCTGCACCTTCGAATTTATTTTGAAACAATTGTCAAATAGTTTCAGCAGATAAGCTCACATTGAAAAGAGTACTTCCGTCACTGAAAAATGCGCCGTTATTTCCATGAACGACATTGACGCCGTTGGCTACCATCCCCGGGCAACGATGGGTGATGTTTATGCAGTAACCTCTGCGGAAATTCCATTCGCAGTCCATCTCGTAGAAATGTTCAGGATTCTGCGCAGTTGATTAAGAATTTTTTTTCAAGAATTTATCAGTAATGATATATTACAATTGAATGAGTACGTCTATCTATAAGATGAAGGCAATGAATATTCACTTAAAAATAAACGTACAATTTTTAACTACAACAACTTGTTTTCGTTATTTCATTAATATCAAGGTTTGATACAATTTTTACGTATGTAAAATATAATAATTAAGCTTTCTACTATGAATTTTATTGATCATATGATAGGAAACGAAATCAAACTTTATTACTCATGATATTGGAATTATGTGAATATTTGGGATAACGCGTAATTGAGTGTCCCTGTAATTCCCAAAAAATACAAAAAAAATTATCCTGAAAATTTTGAAACAAACTGGAAAGTTAAATTCAGTTACACTAGTAAATTTTCATCATTTTTTCGGTTTGAAATTTAAATTTAATTAATAAAATCACCAATATTATTGGAAATTGAATTCATTTCAAAAATTTTCATACTAAATTCATCATAATGTTGAAAACTTTCTGGTCGCTAAGTTCAGGTTGAGCAAATTCCAAGGCCGACTGGAGGGCGGCCTGCCATTTCTCAGCCTGGCTCCTGATGCGCGTAAGATTGAGGAGCAGAAGACCAGAGTTGAAACCCCGTCCAGCGAAATGGGCCATCTACGATCGTTTAAAGAAAAAACTTAGCACTTTTTACGATCGGAAAAATTAATACTTTCTATGGTTGGTTAACAAAAAATCTTGTCACTTTCTACGATCGGTTAGCCAGAAAACTTAGCACTTTCTAGTATTGGTAAAAAAATAGTTTAGCACTTTCTACGAACTGTTAAAGGAGTAATTTAGCGCTTTTTACGATCCGCCAAAGAAAAGATTTACCGCTTTCTAACGAATTTGATCATAAACTTAGGATCATTTCTTTCATACCTACTTTCACACATGAATTTGCTTAAAGTTGCTATCGCAACTTTAAGTAACTTTAAGGGGGAGTAGATTACTAAGATTTTTTATACTGATATGCTTCAAAAATACATAAATGACCTACCTTCGCCCTACCTTCGTACGTCAGACAATGATTAGTTTTAATGGATTTAAAAATTTGCGACTATCATAACTTTTAATTTTACAGGAAACGTAGTGATTATAATATTGTATACAAACCTTTTCAAGCTCGGTGAAAGGTTTGTCACTGAAGATTCTCCACAAAAGCGTTATAGCTCCAAGCAACTGATCATCACTGAAATTTTTAAATGCTCTCCACAGATCTTCTATCGGCCGCAAGAACACAAGGTCCGTATCTAAGTAGATTAATGCGTCTTCCTCTGTGGGTACATCTTTTCAAAAATTACTTTGTTAGAGTCGCACATCAGCCTCTTTTTTCCACAACTTCCAGTGTCGGCTGAGAGGAAACTTTTCTAAACTGAGGGAAAGAGAAGCTACATTTCATTATTTAATACAATTACGTATTTATTCATCATAAAATTTCTCACTTTCTTAAATACTAATCGCATTCAGTCACCATTTGTTCATGTTGTCAAGTTATTATGTTTAACGTGATTCTGATGTTATAATGATACATGCAAGAATTTAAATTCAGCCAATATAGGCTAAAATAGTGTGCACTAAGGCGAGCCTCGTCAACCCTTTAAAGATTTTGTCTTTGCATAGGATAGAGTCTCATATAAAGAATAATTTTACATGATCATTTCTATGCAAAACAAGATTTTTATTAATGCACTTTCTAAAATGTGCTCAACCGACACATCAATTTATAGCAGGCGTGGGACAACATTCTAAAGCCTATGGGATATAACTGAGGTTGAGCGGGATAGAGTATCGCGAATGTTTTGAGAAAATTATGTTTTAAATTCAAAGTAAATTATAATTATTTTATGCCTAATATGGAATTGCGACATTTTATTAGAGAATTTGCTTAAAGTTCATAAGAGACATTTTCAAGCGTGTCTGAAAAATACATATTGTCTTGCGATATTAACTGGATTTGAAATATTTGTTAAATCGTAAGGATTCAAGAAGCGTAGGGAGGAGGAACCGGAATAAAAATTTAGTTTTTTATTGCGTGTTCTTTTTTGTGAAAACACCAGACAGATCACATCCCCTGAATTAGATCAATCAGCCCACAGGAAAATAGCCTAACGTACATAGTATGGCCCAGCATCGTCTGCCAGTACGCGAAAAAATTCTACACCACCGGACGGAGCGCGCCGGAGCCTTGCAGTGAAAATGATGCCCGCAATTGACCCGTCCGTATCTGTCCCGTGTGTCAAATCAGCCCACGGTCGAACAGCCACTCGTCCTAGGTTGATAAATTTTGGAACAGGACCATGCTATCCGAAACCTAACCCTAGATACTGTGAGCTACCATTGTGACCGTCAAGTGGTGCACTTCGAGATTCATGCTGTTCCGTTGGCAAGCTGTGCTGATTGATCGCAGTCCATTGTCCGCTGTTTACAGTTCGAGCTAAAGTCAGGGTATGAAGTGATGATTCGCTGCACGTTCAGTGGTGGACGGTCATTACACTCTGGGCTATTCGCTTCAGAAAAAAGAGGCGTAAAGCTCCTAATATTTAAAGCAAAATGATGTCATGGGCTGGTCACTGACGGATGGCTTAATCCGCGGCTGATTGGTGATCATTTGGAAATATTCTATGCGTTCCTTTCAGGGCTGATTGGTGCGCAAATTTGGTGGTGCACGGCTGCGTTCCAAGAAAATTTAGCCCTAAAAAAGTTCAACCTTCTAATAATGCAGCTTCTATATAATTTAGCCTTCTGATTATGAGATTTTACAAATTCTCAAAAAATAAATCATGTCGCATGCGCCTTATGCATGTAGACCACAGTTCCCATTAATCAAATATTAGACAGGATATTATTGCTTCCTAGGCTAATGATTAATTATCATGATGACGAATATCAAATGAATAAAGCATTATTATACGATCGTGCGCTAAGCGTTATATTTACTTCGTATTAAATATAGAGATCTCCGAACTTTCGATTGGTTGTAGACATATTCATCTTTATATAGCGGCTGTTTGGAGTACCACCGAGCATCGTAACACAATGATACATGAAGACCATGTCAGATATGTTTCACTGAACTGAAGTCCGTTTTTTGCTACTATTGTCATACATGTAAAAAGTGTTCCAGAAAATGAACACTAACTTACTGATCACGAACAATTTTAAATCACGTATAAACATATAATGAATGATTCAATGTACGCGTGAAGCTTCCACCATCTCACCTTCACATACGATCATTATCGCTGTGATAGTCTGCATCGCTGATTCAACTGACAAACATAGAGAAGAATGCAGTGTTAGTTAATTCGTTATATGAGCTCCGGTCTACATAATTAAAAAAACAATACTGTTTTGATATCACTGTAAGTCACCACTTGCTTCAATCTCTTTAGTTAGATGATAACTCCAAAATTGAATTCGCGTCGATTTCTGATTTCAACAATAGAGTGAAAATATACTTCTGTCCCCGAAAACAAATTTTAAATTCAGCATTTACGTTCTTGAGATAATATCCCGACGGTAATACTGCAAGGTCGAATAGTCATCCACAATTACGCGAAATTGATAATTTTATTCTGATAAGCCCATGACACAAGTGATGACGGAGTATCATCTCAAGATCATTTTGGACGGCTCACCAATGAACATCTTGTAATTCTTATTCTTTATGTGTAGTCATTGTTCAAATACAAAATGGGTTAAAATGCATGAAAAAATTAGAGCAAATGAAGTTCATGATCAAAATTACTTATATTAATCATAATTGATGTCATCAAAATCATAAGTATTATTCGTTTAATGAAATTTTGCGATTGTTTCAAGTCAGGCAGTGTCTGCGTGTGTGGGACGGGCGGCGCCGAAGGTCAAGTGCGCGTTAGTTGCGTGTGTGGAAGCTCGTGTTGTTATGGTTTGATTCGTTCGTCGTGGTTCTCGCTCCTAACGGGGCGGTTCCCAACGAGCGTTCTCTCCTGGCTCGCGGTGTCTTCTCACATATTGCGCTGCGCGTGCAATTGCAGCACCTCTAGCGTAGGGCCCAAGGACTTTGGATGATGGCTCTCAGAACTACCAATGCCTGACATGCCCTCTCTCCGCCTGATGCGAGCGAGCTTGGCGACATGGAGCTGGTTCCTTGTGCCTCGTCTCGTGGCGCTAGTCACACGAAATCCCAAGTTCATCCACAGAATGTCAAAGGGAAGAAATTCTAATGGATGCGGGTAAAGGGTCGTGTACGCAAGGCTCTCTTAATGCTAAGCTTTGCAGTTAAATGCAGCGCTCGCGCATGTCTAAGTGCCCGATTGTCAACATGAAGATACTCGTGGCGCCAACGTGTGTAACTGCGGAGCTCTTGTGGTAGCCAAATGCCTCGTTCATGTCCTGAATTTTTCACAGGCAAAAAAGCGAAACTGTAATGAGCAAGTACACGGGCTTGCACGAACGCAGCGGAGATAGTAGACCCTGTTGAGCTTGACTTCAGCCTGAATTTGCTTTGGAACAATTGGAGGTGCAGCATAAGTGGGAGGCAAGTTGCCGCTTACCGGCACGTGAGATACCACTACTCTCTGTCGTTTTATTGCCAACTCGCTTGCCGAGGAAAGATTCAGGCCGGTAGCCTCATCCTCTTGTTGGTTCTGAAAGCTTTCAGCAAGAGGTAGCACATAAGCTACCACAGGGATAACTGGCATGTGGCGACCAAGCGTCCTTAGCGACGTCGCTTTCTTTCGATGTCGGCTCTTCCAATCATTAAGTTGTGGCGGGAGTTGCTCTTAGACCGTCGCGAGACAGGTTTGTACCCATTGCGGTCTCTGGGGACGATCGTCGTTTGCCCAGTTGCCCGCGGGTACGACGATCGGACCCTGGGTGTTGCTATGGAAGTCGTGGCCGGTATGAGAGGAACGTCACGACCGAGCCAATGGTCCCGGACCCGCTCGATCGAGCGTTGGTTCCAGACTACGCTCGTTGCAGAGTAGGGCTGAACGCCTCTTAAGCCTGAAATCGTTCCAGCACAAGTGCAACGCTACCCAAACGCGGTCTGCACCGTGTGAGTTACCCACGCTCATCTAAGGCGAAGGATGAATGGCGCTCGAGAGTTCTTGTAATCTGGCTGCTCCTTGTCACTAGCGAACGCTTGTCGCGAGACCTGTGTCGCACCCGCTTGTGCCTGATGACATTGGAGAAGAGACTCGTTTCGCCTGTCTATGGTCCCCAGTTCTTATCAGGAGAGAATGCCACAAGAGAGTCTTGGGTGTGAAATGGACAGTTGGCATTGGTCCTTGGTCTGCTCCGAAGCTTCCCATGGAGCCTAGGATCGGACTTTTTGCAGTGACCTGCCAGTCCGCGCTGTATGAAAGTAACGCCCTTGCTCTCACTGGCCTAATGTAATATATTTCCAAGCCTTTTGTTGTGTGGACTGCAATCAAACGGAATGCATACGATTTTCCCTGTGTAGGGTAACAGTGTGAGACATCTCAATTTCTTATGCGGTCCCTTGAAGTTTTCCTTTGCACAAATAGTTTAAGGTCGCGATCAAGGCCAGCTATGCTACAGTGGGAGGCATTGGCCGCATTAAGTCCCGGGAAATCCCACAGTAGCACCGGGTTTGCCGCGGACACAAGTTTGTGTTCCACTTTCTCTTGTGCTGAGAAAGTGAGCACACGCTTGCTGTCAGGTGGCAAGTGCTTGCGTGGATGGGTGTCGTGCATATGCCATTCACCACGCACTAGAGTCCATCAGTGGTCGTGCTTAAGCTGATGGGCTCTCAGGCAGCATGCAAACACGTCTGCTTGTGGGACTTGTCTTCCACCGCGGATTTCAAGAGGTATCAAAAAGCTTGTGCAAACGTGGACGGGTGTCATGCTTATCCCATTCACTGCACACTAGAGTCCAGTTGCTGTCGTGCTTAAGCTGTTGGACTCTCAGGCTGGCATATGCTTCTGCGCGTGTGGGAGACAGGTTCTCGCGCACACGCCCCGGTGCTTGAAGAGGTATCAAAAATCTTTTGTGTGCGTGGATGGGTGTCGTGCATATCCCATTCACCACACTGAGCACAGAGCGTCGCACATTGTTCATGCTGAACGCAGAACTTAAGCTGGGTACAGACATTTGCTCGATCGAGCGTTGGTTCCAGGCTACGCTCGTCGCTCGTTGTTGAGTAGGGCCGAACGCCTCTTAAGCCTGAAATCGTTCCAGCACATGTGCAATGCTACCCAAACGTGGTCTGCAC